CTAATGAGTTATGCTAATGAGCTCCTGCACCTCTTTTTCTACGGAATGACTCCTGCTTCTATCTTCAGAGAGAAGAAGAAGAGGAGGAGGAGGAGATTGGATTTATATTCTGTAGCAGCAGGGGTCATTTCCTGCAGGAGCGCACAGGAGCGGAGCTCCGGCAATAAAGAGCCCAGGGGGCGGGCACATGCAACAAGCCCCGCCCCCTGCTCCCAGCAGCCCTCAGTCAGAGCAAGAAGCAGCCAGGTAAGTTGCAGAGCTCCCCCCCCCGGCCCCCTGGTCCAAAACAGTCCAGTGGCACCTCTAAGAACAAGTTTTATTCAGGTACAAGCTCTCCCTCCTCTGCCAGGACAGATCTGCCCCCCCCCCATAGCTAGCAATCCAAAACAGTCCAGTGGAGCCTGAGCGGTGGGTGTTGCCTTCTGACACACTTCCGGTGATGTCAGGGGGTGTGGCATATGCAAACACGTTATGCTAATGAGTTATGCTAATGAGCTCCTGCACCTCTTTTTCTACGAATGACCCTTGGCTGTAACCCCTCAGTCCTCACCCCCAGTTGAAAAGAATCCTAAGGGGATAGAGCTGCGTTTGCCGATGTCAGTCCCTCGCTCCCTTTTCTTCCCCTTCCCTCCCTCACTGTCAACACCAAGGGTTCCCAACATGGTGCCCACATGCACCATGGCACCCACGGGCATCTCTCCTGCCAGCCGCCAAGTTTTTTTTAAAGTGGGCGTGGCCAGGTGGGGCCTTTTCCCCAGCCGAGCCTCTGATTGGCAGTGGAGATCTGACTGGTTGTCCGGATTAAAACAGTATTGTTTTGGTGGCAGCTGCCAACACGGTGATGGCTTTATACTCTTACTCCTCTTTCCCAGTATATATATATTTTTTTAATCATTACTCTTATGCTCAGGGCTTTTTTGGTAGAAAAACCCCAGCAGGAACTCATTAGCATAATAGGCCACACCCAACAGCAGAAACATATTAGAATATTAGGCCACACCCCTGACAGAGCAGCTCATTAGCACATTAGGCCACACCCCCACTTTACCAGAAGTGTGGTCATCCAGCCACACCCACCTTTTGCTTCTTAATCTGTTTACCTTGTTTGTTGTCAAAAACCAGGGCTTTTTTGGTAGCAGGAACTCCTTTGCATGTTAGGCCACACACCCCTAATGTAGCCAATCCTAACGAGTTTCTGCTGTTGGGCGTGGCCTGTTATGACGCAGAGGTTTTGGCTGTAGTGGGCGTGGCCAACTCTGAAGCCAGCCGGAAGTCCGTTCCCGGGCGTTCCTGCCCAAAAATAGCCCTGCTTAAAAGTATTAAAAAAAAAGTATTATTATGTGGCACCGCCTCCCATAGTGGGCATTTTGTAGTTGGCTCCGCCTCCTTTGGCAGCCATCTTGTGGCTGTACCCACCACCCCACGGCAGAATTCCAAAGGTGCCCCTACACTCAGAAAGGCTGGGGACCCTGATTTAGACTGTAACCTCCTTGGGGCAGGGAGCGGTCTTTTTTTCCTGACGAGCTGTACAAGTTCTGAAAAGTGCCACCTGGAGAGACGCTGCTATGTCAGTCGGATACAGAGAATGAGAGCTGGGTAAGAGAGATCTAGACTGATTACCCACAAGAAGAAGAGATTGGATCTATACTCGGCCCTTCGAGCCTCAGAGCTGCTTACAGTCTCCTTTCCCTTCTCCTCCCCACAACAGACACCCAGTGAGGTCGGTGGGGCTGAGAGAGCTCTTGAAAGAAACGGCTCTTTTTCAAGAACTGCTCAAGGTCATCCAGCAGCTGTGAGTGGAGGGGTGGGGAATCAAACCCGGTTCTCCCAGATCCTTGGTTTTTGAGATCGAGAAGACGCGGGGGAAATGGGGGGGGGGTGTCAAAATGTGGCTGCACACCGAATAGCGTGAAACTGACCGATGCAAGCGGGGGAAACGGAAGAACGAGGGCGGCACGGCTGCTTGTGGGGGAATCGGTCCTAGACTTGCCCCACCTCTGCCGTGGACTCTCCTGAATTGGCCACTGCTTCAGAAACAAAAAACAAAACAAAAGAAGTCACAGGCGCCCTGAGCTGGATAGCCCAAGCTAGCCTGATGTCATCAGATCTTGGAAGCTAAGCAGGGTTGACTGTGGGTAGTGCTTGGGTGGGAGGCCTCCTTGGAATACCAGCAGCCGGGAGGACAGGGGCAGGCTTTATTCAGCCACCTCTGTGAATACCCTCCAGGCCCCCAGTAGGGGCCAGTCACCCGAGGTTGACATGACTTCCAGGTGCATATGCACACACACAAACATACAAAAATACACACACACACCCAAAAGGAAGAAGTCACGGGCAGGACAGCGATAAAGAACCAAAACCATGACTAAAACCCCCCCAATAAATATAAACAATGGTTAAATGTCTATTGTGTCACTGTGATTGTTAGAATCACAGGTATAGAAGGAAAAAGCCCTCTTAAAGCCAGAGAGTCAAAGGAAACAATCCTCTTAAAAGATGAAAAAATGTCTGAGGAAACACATAAATCTACCTACCATAAATCTTTTGTGCTGCTTTTTAGAATTTGGGTATTCACTGCTGTAGATTTCCCAGGCTGTATGGCCGTGGCCTTGGCATTGTAGGACCTGACGTTTTGCCAGTAGCTGTGACTGGCATCCTCAGAGGTATAACACAAAAAGATAGAGGACTCTCTGTGTAGATATAAATTACCTGCCTCCCATTTTTCATTATCACCTTGACACAGAGAGTACCCCATCTTTCTGTGTTATACCTCTGAGGATCCAGTCCCAACTACTGGCGAAATGTCAGGTTCTACAATGCCAAGACCACGGCCAGACAGCCCGGAAAATCCACAACAGCTAATCAACTCCGGCCGTGAAAGCCTTCGACAACATATGTTTGTTTGGCCGTTCGTCACCTTGCAGCATTTAGAGATTATGGAGACTTTCCAAGTGAGGTCCCTGCCTTCATATGTTTTATTATGGCAACTGAACTTGAGAGAGATCCCTTCGAAACAGGTTCTTGTCGTCTGCCGATTTACTGCCCTTTCAGATTCACGATGGATTTATCGACTCTCACAGACGGCTTTTACGTCTTTTAAGAGGGTTGTTTCCTTTGACTCTGTGGCTTTAAGAGGACTTTCTGCCTTAACATACCTGTGCTTCTAACAACTGCTGTGACACAACAGACATTTAACCATAGTCTATAATTTACTGCTGTTTTTTTCTGTTCGGTCACCGTTTTGGTTCTTTATTTGCTGTCAGAAACAAAAAAGCCGCCCACATTCCCCAGCCCTTCGGTGACTCACGAAAGCTCCTCCCCTGCCACAAATTTTGCCAGCCTTTAAGC